CAGGGCAGGAAGTGGACTGGGACCTCTCCAAGTAGCAGTCCACCCCACACTCCATATTTAGGTCTGTTCGGGGACTTGAACCAGCAACCCTACAGCTCCCAGTCCAAGCCCCTACTGACTGAGCCACTGCTGGACTTAACCTTTGCGAAGTGCACAAGGCATGAGAAATAAGCCATTATTAAACAAGTAAAGCCTTTTAATAAGAAGTATATGCCAACAATGTTTTAGATAATGGGAGAAAAGTGGTTCAAAACTTCACTCTAAAGATTTTAACATGAGAAAAAAAGATTGTGAGAAAAAACATTTATCAGTTGATCTTTATGTAGGAAAATAAGTGAATATACCCAATGCCTACAGTTAGGAGGTACAACATTATTTAACTTGAATATTTACACTTTATTTATCTTCTACTCCCACATTACGCTGTAGTTATTTTACTACATTTTTCTGACAGGTTGTGCAATAAAGACATACAATATGATTCAATATCACAGATGAAACCATGCAGCAGTTTATGAAGTTGTTCAAATGGGCTCCACCTTGAAACAACTTTAGAAAATATAAGTGCAATGTGTTGAGTTCACATAAATAAAGTAGCATTTTCAAAGCAGGGTGTGACAGCTTGGTATAATAAACGTTCAGGGAAATCTCACTACCAAGCCCGGCAAACAGCTTCTAAATGCACCTCGTGGTGGGATTCTGTGAGCATAAAATGAGATGAAATGAGAATTGCTCCATGCTTCATGACGATCAGCATCACAGAGTGAGGCTGATGTAAGTGTTCCATGAGTTGAATTCTCTGTTCAGACATGTTGGCCTGCAGTGTGCCACCTGTCTGCGGCCTGGACTAAAAAAGAGCATTCCTTAAAGAGAGAAAGGCTTCTCATGATGACAGACGCTGCAAAACGACCCTCCTCCAACACACACACACACACACACACACACACACACACACACACACACACACACACACACACACACACACACACACACACACACACACACACACACACACACACACACACACACACACACACACACACACACACACACATACACACACACACACACACACACACACATCCATTTGTAGAAGCTTTGTATCCGTTTTGGATCTCCTTAAGTGCCTGTTTGTGGTTGTTTTGTGTCTCTTTGTGATAAGATAAGACAAGCCTTCTTTAATCCCTGTAGGGGAAATAAGATGTTTCAGCAACAGAAATAAGATGGTTGTGATTATAGTTAAGTGTCTCTTTGTGATGATCTTTTTAAGTTATTTCTTGTCTTCTCTCCCTAATTGTTTTGTGTCCGTTTTGCCGTTTCATTGCCTTTTTGTATTCATTTTGAGTCTCTTCGAGTTACATCATGTAGGTGAAGGTTAAAGGGGCCCCTGACAGTTTGGGCCCTTCTCTTTTGCCCATTCAGTAATCCATCTATGGTTTTATCCATTTACACTAAACAACAAGAAGCTGCTCTTTCTTTGTTTCTCATCGCTCAGTAGGCGTGAGGTGAGTGTGATAGAGTTTGTCAGAACATGCCCTCCCCAACACAGAAAAAAATACCTTTGACACTTCTGGATCTCCGGCTCTTCGCCTCACTGTTAATCCTGTGTGCACACGTAAAACAAAGTCCACTTTTCGCCACCGGCTTGAGTCACACTTCAAATGAAAATTCCATCCATCTTGACTCTTTGCTCTCAGCTGTCAGCGCTCAGGAAGAAACATCCTGAACGCAGCACTTAAGTTGTAAATAAAAGGCAACCATCACAAAAGCCTGTCATCTTTTCTCACAGGGGATATTGTGCTCTGTCAGGTGAAGTACACTTTTTTTCATTTTTAAGCAGGAAGGCGGGTTAGAAATGTGACAAACATCCTGATCCATCATGTTAAGGACGACTGAAGATATTAACAAAACTACAGGAAGTAACCTCCTTATGGATGTCAAAGGAATAAATCAAGCTCTTTTTAAATCAGAACATGTCCAAAAGACCTGCTCTGCATGTTGTGGACAGCCCACTAGATTAACAAAACACTCATTTTGTAATATGCGTCATGTTTAAAAGCAATTATTGTTTTATGCACCCTCTGAATCTGATGTTTTCAAAGATGTAATTGCATATTTTTTGCATTAAAAGTATCCCCACAATCGATTGCTTGTAAAAGTGTTGCTTGAAGAATCTACACCAAAACGGAGACTTCAATTATAATAACAATAAAGCTTTATTTATACAGCACTTTTCATAAATTCCCCTCAGATTATTTGTTAAGAACTTTACAGGTACATGCAGCAACATATTTTAACAGGTTAAGAGACACAAGGAGGTAAAAGGTATGATAACAAATACAATAAATAAATAATGATTTCTCTCCGACAGATAAGACACAAGACAACTGAGTCGATGCAACAATATAAAACCCCATAAAACAATGTGAACATATAGGTACAACAGAAATACAAATATAATAGTAATAAAAATCATCATTCTAATAAAGGTTAAACGATTAAAATATACAAAAAACGTAAAAATAAATATTGCTAGTGAAACATATTAGATTAATAAAGACCTATACAATAAATAAAACAATATAAAAGCAGTTAAATAATGAAGACTAAACGAACAATTAAAGTGGGGGGTTGCTAATAAAAAGCTAATCTAAATTAATCTGAGGTGTTCCACAGTTATGGAGATATTCATTACACAATGGAATTAAAAAAATATAGAGTTTAAAGGGAGAACTTGACGGATCCTCTGTTATAACCAGCTGCTTCAACGAACATACATTATTGTATAAAAGCTAAAAGGGGCTTTCACAGTATGTCACGGTGTAAACGGACACTATTGTTAACCCTGTGAATGAGACACGGCTGTTATCTGATATTCCACTGAGTGACGCTGGGGACAATGGGCCATGGAGCACCTGTACTGTAGGTGTGGTGTCACTTTGTCAAACTCACCTGGGACTCAGGCTTCACTCCTGTGAATGAAGGAATTAAACATGTTTAAATACAAAGGTCCCATGCTTTTCTGGTTATTACCCGCCGTTGCCAACCCTCCCGATTTTCGCGGGAGACTCCCGATTTCATTGCCCTCTCCCGGTTTCCTCCCGGGGTCATATTTCTCCCGCATTTCTGACAAAGTCAGATTTACTCACGACTGTTTCCACTCGGACTATAATACAGCTACACCATAGTTTGGTTTCCATGGTAGCGCGTCTCTTTAGTAGCGCGCGCAACTGAAAGTGCCCAGCACTGACTTTGGACCCCCCCCTGTGGCCCCCCTAAAAAAGAAAAAAAAGAAAAAAAAAAAGTTTATAATTAAACAATTTCTTGGCTGACGGAATAGGCGGAAGTAACGATATTTGTCATTCTAGTCGGACCCATTAGAGCAGGGGTCTCAGGGGGACACATCGATCACGAGCTACCAGTATCTCGCAAGCCCTCAATAGCCCCCACTTTACAAATATGTTTTGTTTTTTTAACGCAAGCCGTCATCGCCACGGAGGAGCACACAGCCTCTGTGAGCGAGCGAGAGATAGAGAGCACACCTTTATCTATTTAATGTGTTGTAAAAAATAAAGAAATCATTCCAATTGTGATCATATTCTAAAGATGTTTTGATTATTGAAAAGTATACAGCTCCCTTTCATCTGAGTGTTGTATCCATAAATTCATTTTGTGCTCAAAGTGCACCAGATTGATGCATTTCACTTCAACATTTAAAAAACAATCTTCCCGGGGCTGCATGCCCCCGGACCCCCCTAAAGAAGGTTAGGTCAACCCCCAAATAAAGCAGGTTAAGATAATTAAATTGCATACATTTTCTTTTAGTAAACACTGAAAACGGGTCCCACAGACCCAAACAGCACACAGAGGTAAGCATATAATAATGTGTAATGAAACAAATACCAATAACTGTATTGCATTGTTTTATAATGCGCAATTACTTCATACTGTCTTTGTCTTTTTCACCCTGCATTTATTGTGCCCCCCTCAGAAAATAACTGGCCCCACCAGTCAAATTGGTCTAGAACCGCCTCTGCGCAGACGGCCACTGGGCTCACGGGGAGGGGGGGCAGGAGCTCCAACAACCCATTTAGGACAGAGTGAATACACATACTATACAGAGATGCTGTATGAGAAACCAATGGGAGTTTGGAAAATTGCACAATATACATTTATTTTAGTAGACCACAACAATGGAATTATGATCAGTAGAAATGGCCATGACATGGGACCTTTAAATTAGACACGGCAACAAGACTATTATTGCTAGGAGGCCCTCTGGTGGACAGATTAAACATAGGATAACTCAAGTAAACTCAATACAAATCGGTGAATAATTAGTGGGAGATTTGTAATGATGCTGATATAAAAAGATAATAGTCTACTTGCCCTGGATAGAAGTCATACAAATAAAAAGGAGCTGCAGAAATATCATCTCTTACTTTGCTGCACTTTTCTGGGGCTGGAATGAGAGCTCCATTAAAGTCATTATACTTTTTTAAAGAAATGTAAAGATGGTACTACATTTATTTTGTAAAACTTATAGCTGTCTTTGGCTCTTTTCTTGCTGTAAGAAATGCAAATGTCCCCTCTGTGGGACGAATAAAGGCATTCTAATTCAGATTTTCCGACTGGGGGTTTGTTGAAAGTGACGTTTGATTGCATGTTAGAAAAATGGCACAATAATTGTCCAAAAAATATGAGAGCATTGCCAAACAAGGAAAAGGAAACAATGTAGCACTGAATGTTCCTAGAGAACAGTTGGAAGTTCAACATTAAAGGAACAGTGGCTCCAATATGCTCAAAACCATATCAATGTGACACAGGAATTTTGGGAATTCTGTTCTGTGGAGCGATGGAACATACTGGAACTTTTCGGGCTTATGGATGGTGGAAGAAGAATGAATCACATGATGAAAACACAATTCACGTGGAGTAATGTTGCCAAAAAGCCAGACCTTCTGATAAATAAAAACAAGAAACAAGCATTACTACAACAATAAATCTTAATAACTTTATTGTCTTTGTTCTCATGATTTTACAAATATGATACTTCTGCAATTCAACTTTTTAACTGTGCAACACAATGGCATTATGGACTGTTAAACCGGACATCCCGGGGGGGACGCCTGTGACTCCAGGGGGGCTGTGAATCCTGCAGACCCACCGCACCTTGTTATTTTTTTTATTTCAATGTCTTTTTTTTTTTAGTGTCAGCCTGGGAGTGTTATGGAAGTCAATCCGTAGTGTTACATTAGATCTGTCCGCAGGATTCACTAGCAGCTTTAAAAACAGGATTTTTCACCACTGTCAGGGAGGAGGAAGTCTCGTCCCTCCCTCCCACAGTCTCTTTGGATGAGGCTGGTGTTTCCGGGTCAGAGATGCTTGTCTTTTTAAACAACGGGTGATCTCGCCACGTAGGTTTTTGGGACACCAGTACAGATACAATGGCATGCAAGACTCACATACAGACCCACTTGTTATTATTTGTTGTTTTTTTTTTAATAGAAAATAAAGATTCTGACATAAGTACAAGCACTGAGCCCTCGCAAACACCCAACTTTACGGCGGACGCCTAAACTGACGGCGTTAAGGGGGGCTTAAAACCATTTCAACACAACAGCTGGCATCTTTTCATATTCAATAAGTCCTGTTTTTGAGGACGTAATACATCTCACATATATATTATTTCTTCTTCTATACCTTTTCACTACAAATGTATGTGCTTTTTGATTTAAAACAACTCGGGGGAAGAGAAAATAAGATTTGTAGTACCACCCCACTCCGGCCAATTTATTGCGAATGAAGTGATGGACAGCAACACGCACTTCAATATGGCACAAGCATCTTGGAAATGACCCTAAATGCATCGTGGGTGAAATATCAAAAAACCAAACCACACCTAAAAATATTAAGACATTAATCCGAGCAGAAAATAAAAGATTTTTTTTTTCTCCTCGTGGAAACATGCAGTCTGCCGCTCTGCAAGCAAAGTCTGGACCCCGGTTAAAAACGGCAAAAAAACAAAATGGCTTCCTCTCAAATGCACATCGTCCGTCGCTGAAACGAAACCACGCTGTCATTCGACGCAGAATATCACATTTTCTAATTAGGGTTTTTTAAAAAAAGGGTTTAAAGCACTCTTGGGGCTTCCTCTCAGACGTCTTTTTTTCCCCACTTTAAATCTTAAGACATGTGATGTGCTTTTTCCTAGTAGATGTCAGCTTTGGCACGCTCTCCGCAAGAGGTACCTCAACATTTAGTCAAGTACGGAATCTACAGTTCTCCCCCCCCCACCGAGGATATCGTTGTTGCATTATACCTACATATAGAGTATAGTTCCTAAAGATGTCTCTGGAGTGTTAAGGAGAACTAAATCTACACATGAAGGCATTCTCCTCCAGCCTTTAGTCCCTCTCTACCTGTATAACCCACTACAAAAACCAAATAAATATACTTTAAAATAAGGGCAAAATGGTAAAACGAAGCAAAATCAATGTAGTGAGTGGCCTCGTAATGTAACGCAAAACTCTCGGAATACAATACGGCTTATTTAGTCAAACAAAAGAAAGGGAATATCTAGAGTAGTGGTTGTTTTACAATGGCGCCTATGAAGAAGGACTGTCAGTTCGCCCTTCTTCGTTTTCCTCTTCTCGTCCGGAGGTCATCATGCTCTGTCTGTTCAAAGTCTTTGACCTTTAACCCACGTCTCCCCTCCCTCTTCTCATCCACCCGCTCCGCTCCTCCCGTCTCGACAGAGGGGGGGATTGTTCAGTCGGCGTAGTGCATGATGGACTCCACGTAGTTTCCGGGGAAGAGGCCCGTGGTGCCGTTCATCACGCCCTCGTACCAGCCGTCGTCGTTCTTCTTGATCACGTAGATGATGGAGCCCTCCTGGAACGACAGCTCGTCCTCTTTGTCCCGGGCGTAGTCGTAGATGGCCACCACTGCAGGGGAAAATAATATTAAAACATCATGATTTAGGTATAAATGTGAGACAAATGCATGTTTCTCTACCTTCCAACTTAAAAATCTTCACTTTTATAAAGCCGCTTCCTCATGTTTTACCATGGCGGTGTTCACATTTCATGACATGATTACCAGTATTTAATATGTTAGCCTACATCTGACACTTTGTTACACTGCTACAGACAGTCTTGCACTAATGCATTATTGTTGTGCTTTTATATATTTATATATATATATATATATATATATATATATATACACACACATATATATACACATATATATATATATATACACACACACATATATATATATATATATATATACACACATAATATACACACAT